GATCGGGAAACTTGGCATGTCTCATAATACATTCTCTTTCTGTAATTTTTAAAATTTTTATTTCCGTAGGTTTTTGGGGAACAGGTGACATTTGGTGACACGAATGAGTTCCTTAGTGGTGATCTGTGAGATTTTGGTGCACCCATCACCCAAGCAGTATACACCAAACCCAATTTGTGGTCTTTTACTTTTCACCCCTTTCCCACTCTTTCCTTTTGAGTCCCCAAAGTCCACTGTATCGTTCTTATGCCTTTGCATCCTCATAGGCTAGTACTTAAGAGTGAGAACACACGATGTTTGGTTTTTCATTCCTGAGTTACTTCACTTAGAAAAATAGTCTCCAGTTCCATCCAGGTTATTAGGAATGTCATTAATTCATCCTTTTTTATGGCTGAGTAGTATTCTATCACATATATGTATGTATGCATATACTAATGCATCACATGTATATATATATGTATATATGCATATGTGTGCCTGTCTGTTTATATATATATAATATATATATATATATATATATCACAGTTTATTCATTCGTTGATTGATGGGCATTTCGGATGCTTCCTCATTTTTGCATTTGCTGATTGTGCTGTTATAAACATGTGTGTTAAAGTATTGTTTCTTGTATAATGACTTATTTTCTTATGGGTAGATACGCAGCAGTGGGATTGCTAGATCAAGTGATAGTTCTACTTTTATGAGTTGTCCTTGTTTTTCATTGTAAGATAATACTTTTGATCACTATAGTTTGTCACCGTTTGGATTATTTCCACTTTGAAATTCCTAAACTTTTCCCCTTCATAATATTAAAACAAGTCATGTTAGAGGCTCTTTCAACATGAAAGGTTTGTAGTTAATACATTACATATATGTTGTTGTTTATAATAAAAATCACCTAGGCAAGAGGACTACCAGGTGTTAATTTTCATACTTTGCACAATATCTCTTTTTCCATGATGTGTTAACATCTACAATTTCACTAAATGTTGTGTCATTTTCTGTTGAGATTCTGGTACTTAGGAGCTATGTGGTTTTTTGTTGTTGTTGTTGTTTTTGTTGTTGGTTTTGTTTTTTTTTTTTCTCTCTTACTTCCTTGAAGCAAAAGACTACATGGCCTTCAGTGCAAAAACCTCAGTTCAATTCTGAAATTTATTATATTTGGTTGCCTCTTGGCTATATAACATCTGAGTGCAAATCATTGAACTCCCTAATGAAGTATTATAGAGAATAAATTAAGAAGAATAAAGAAAAATCCTTCTTCAAAGAGATTCATGGAAGGGACTCTTAACAAGTATGCTGCAATTTAGATTTCTTATGATTTTAAGATTGTACCATTGGACTGGGTAAGAATTTCCAGAAGTCTAATGAAGAAGCTCTTGGTGTCTTAAAACATCTAACCAAGATCAAATAGAATAAGTATTAATAAATACAACTAAACAAAATGATGACAGTATTTAGAGTGACTTTTTGTTTACCATTTTGCTGGCTCTTTAAATGTTTTGTTTTCCAGATTTGAGAAGACTTTTAAAAAGCTATCTATAGCATACAGCAATTTGGTAAAATATACTTTTATAAATAAAAATGAAAATATTTACTTTTTCTTCCTATCTGAGCCTGCAGACTTTAGAGAGCTCTTATTGATATTTTTATTTGATGGCAACATAGCTATTTGCATAAATTCAATAAAAATCTATTATCTTTATAGCAGGATAGAATTAGAAACATTGGTTATATTGTAAAGGATTTGACTTGAATATCATATTTTAGAATGTTCATAGATTGCCTAGCTTCAAAGATTCCCAGGCTCACACTGAATGAATAAACATCTTTACTTCTTGACAGGCAAGGAGCCTCAAGGTATATTGGAGACCTCAAGAAGAGAGAAATTCATCCAAATTTGTAGGTACTGCACCCAAAGTCTGATGTTTGCCCTCATTTGACTTCTGACCCTCGAAAGGTTTTTAAAAGTCATTCTGAGATTTTGTATCAAAAGTTCCAGCAAAATAAACTTAAAAACAGTCCATGTTCTGTCACTTTTCTTGCTACACTTTTGTCAATAATCACGCCAAGTTTAATGAGACGAAACTTATTCGGCTGACAGACTACTTTCTCTGATTATTTTTCGTAGAAATAGGGATAACTGTAGAGATAAAAATTGTGTTTCTGAAGAAAAGCTGCAGTGCGCCTGTTAGTAGATTGTAGTTTTGCTTGTTGTTTTCAAGGTTGCATTACCTACCTATAAATTGGACCGGGTACTTAATTATTCTAATTGCCTCCAACATCTGGCTACAACTTTCCAACTAAGAACGCAAACTGCCTTGTTCCTAAAATAAGTTGAAGCTGGAAAACTCAATGCAGATTTCAAGGAACAGATCTCATGGCCGTTGTGTGGGCTACAAAGAAAATTGCCTAAAATGCCCCATGCTACAACCAGGAACATTCAAACTGCAAACCAGAGTAAGAAGTTGATGACTTCACACTGTGTACAATTTTTCCCAAGATATTGGAACAAAACTAGACTCTTATCCTTCTTAATTTCGTCTTGGTTATGCCTACATTTTTCACTTAGCAGAAAAATGCAGTGGTTGGAATTTCACAATCAGTAGCTTCTGTAACTGAATAAAGTTTTGCATCCGTCATGTCAAACCCACAACTTTACATGACCTGAGGGATTTTTTAGTTCACATAGTGGGTAACTATGGCAACATCCCTAATGATTTATTTGCCACCTTGGATTTTGTTACAGGCTTTACACTGCAAAGGCTATTGCTGCCCAGCAGTGCTCATTAAAGTATCTTGCAGAGTAGTCATAGATAACAGAATAACTCTCAATTATCTACTGGTTGAACAAGGAGGTGTTTGTGTCATTGCTAATAACTACATGCTGTACCTGAATATGTATCTCTGGGGATGTTGAGACCTAATTGCATAAAATAGAAAGACAGGTTTTATGGCTACAACAGATCCCACTCAGTCTCACATAGACTTTTGATTCATTAGTTAACTGCCTATGGGTCTAGTTTAATAGACAATATTATCACGTTACTATAAATTTTGTGCTGCATCATTCTTTTTAAACTTTTTATCTGTTTCCTGTCCAACCTCTGCAGAAATGATACCTCGAACAGAATAACACCAGACCAGAACTTCCAAATGGTAGTCAATGCCTATCGAACTGACAAAATTGAACTTAGCAATGAACTCCAGGCAGATTTATCCTGAACCTCTTTGATTCTTATTTGACTAAAAGGGTTTTGACATCTGCTCTTAGTTGCTGGTCATTCATCTCTGATGCAGGATCAGACTAACTAGAAAAGGTCCTCTCCAGCACCAAGAGACAATGAAAACCTAATAGGCTGATTAATCTGCAATGCTTTCAGAAAAAAATCTTGGTCAAAGGGAGAAATATGAAAGTTATCAGCACAAACATGGACTCACTTAAGTCAAACCACAACACAATGGAGCGGGGAGAGTATAAAGGAACGGCCTTCATGCATGGATGTCTGTAATAAGAACTGTTGCAAGGACTCTCTAGGAACCACTAAAATTTTGGATACAACACTTCTGTGAACACATCTTCCCAGCAACAGCCAGTATCACCAATGACTATTTGTTCATGCCAGCAATAAGCTTCTGGGGTCAATGAGGTTTATTTTAAAATAACTTACATGAACTTCACCTCTGTTTTCTCTTTATTTCTTCTTATTGAAAAAAAAGATACATGTGTAGAACATGCAGGTTTGTTACATATGTATACATATGCCATGGTGGCTTGCTGCACCTATCAATCCATCATCTAAGTTCTTTTTCCTCACCCCCAACCTCCAACAGGCCCTGTTGTGTGCTGTTTCCTTCTCTGTGTCCATGTGTTCTCAATGTTCAACTCCCACTTATGATTAAGAAAATTTGGCATTTGGTTTTCTGTTCCTGTGTTAGTTTGCTGAAGATGATGGTTTCCAGCTTCATCCATTGCCTTGCAAAGGACATGATCTCATTCCTTTTTATGACTGCATGGTATTCTATGGTGTATATGTAACACATTTTCTTTATTCAGTCTATCACTGATGGGCATTTGGGTTGGTTCCATGTCTTTGCTATTGTAAATAGTGCTGCAATAAACATAAATGTTCATGTGCCTTTATAGTAGAATTATTTATATTCCTTTGGGTATCTACCTAGTAATGGGATTACTGGGTCAAATGGTATTTCTGATTCTAGAAATCACCATACTGTCTTCCACAATGGTTGAACTAATTTATACTCCCACTAACAGTGTAAAATCATTCCTATCTCTCCAAAGCCTTGCCAGCATCTATTGTTTCCTGACTTTTTAATAATCTCCATTCTGACTGGCATAAGATGGCATCTCATTGTGATTTTCATTTGCATTTCTCTGATGATCATTGATGTTGAGCTTTCTTCATATGATTGTTGGCCAAGTAAATGTCTTTTTTTTTTTTTTTTTTTGAGAAGTGCCTTTTAATATCCTTTGTCCATTTTTCACTGGGTTGTCTTTTTTTTTTTTTTTTTGTAAATACATTTAAATTCCTTGTAAATTCTGGATATTAGGCCTTTGTCAGATGGGTAGATTGCAAAAATTTTCTCCCATTCTGTAGGTTGCCTGTTCACTTCGATGATAGTTTCTTTTGCTGTGCAGAAGCTCTTTAGTTTTGTAAGATCCCATTTGTCAATTGTGGCTTTTGTTGGAATTGCTTTTGGCATTTTTGTCATGAAGTCTTTGCTCATGCTTGTCCTGAATGGTGTTGCATAGGTTTTCTTCTAGGGTTTTTATGGTTTTGGGTTTTATATTTGTCTTAAATCCATCTTGAGTTAATTTTTGTATAAAGTGTAAAGAAGGGTCCAGTTTAAGTTTTCTACATATGGCTAGCCAGATTTCCCAGCACCATTTACTGAATATGAGATCTTTTCCCCATTGCTCGTTTATGTCAGGTTTGTCAAAGATCAGATGGTTGTAGATGTGTGGGGTTATTTCTGAGGTCTCTCTTCTGCTTCGTTGGTCTATATGTCTGTTTGGGTACCAGTTCCATGCCGTTGTGATTACTGTAGCCCTGTAGTATAGTTTGAAGTCAGGTAATGTGATGCCTCCAGTTTTGTTCTTTTTGCTTAGAATTGTCTTGTCTATGTGGGGTCTTCTCTGATTCCATACGTAAATTTAAAGTAGTTTTTTCTGATTCTGTGAAGAATGTCAATGGTAGTGTGATGGGGAACTTTACCTTTTACCCTTAAAAAAGCTTTGCGTCCCCCAGCTTTTTCAAATGTGCCTATGGTTCACCATGGTAAGCATATCCCAAACTGCAGTTCCTTGCTATTCCCAGATGAACTATTTTGAAAGGTCAGTCTCTCTGCTGTTTATTTCAACAATTTTTAATAGAAGTACATTTTTCTTAAAAACATAGCAAAAATTTAAAGTACATTTGCAATTATAATAATTATGAAACAAATAATCATTGCATTGATTTTTAAGAATTATGAATTTAATTTTTTCAAGTTGAAATATAGATTATATTTTATTAAGTTACCAATTTATTTTGGAAAGAAATTTCAAGGAATATGTAGTACATATATATATTTGGTCAATGGTCTTTGACTGAATGTATTAAGGCTGGGTCGTATTTAATTCAGTCACTAAATAATTTAGTCAGGCTACTCAATAAATTAATGAGGTAATTATCTATGAGTTATAATCTATAAATCATATGTAAAATTTTATTATAAAAAGCAAATGAGTCTTTCTAATAACAGCTAGTTCAAACAATAAAATAATTTTACTTTTAGTTAGCAAGTCCATATTACATTTCTAAATATTGAAGTCTAAGCAGTAGTTAATAAACTTTTAGTCAATTATTGAGGAATAAAACTTACATACTGTCTTAGTATAGCAAAAAGTATAAAAAACACAATTGAACCCAGTCTCTCTTTTTTAAAAATCAAAATTTTATTAGGTAATAAACTGAATCCCTAAATTTTATGTACAGACCTGAACTGATATTTTAAGCTATCTTGAAGGAAATATAAGCATTATCCTTGTATTTATTTCTATTCCAATTCTCCTCATGTCATTGGTAGTTTATGTGTAGTCATTGTAAAGATGTGTTGAATGTTCTAAATTTATACAAGCAAAACAATATACATTGTCTAGCTCTTAATAACTTTCCTTTCTCTGTTTGTTTGTTTTCCTATGACTTTCTCTTGCTTTACGCTGTTGCAAACTATGACCCTGAGAAGCAGCAGTCATAAGCCTTTAGTAAGATGTGTTGTTGAGTATCACAAAACATCTGCTATTTTTTTATAGTAGCAAAGATGGAATGTTCATATACTTGCCCATGATTTTTATACATGTCATAAATTTATCTATCACTATGCCTAAATTTACCAAATTACGTCCATTTATATAAAACATTTGCACAAATGTTATTCAAGTTGTCTGAAATAAAAATACATGTATTTTGCAATTTAGAGCATAAATCACTAAAAATTTATAGCTCCATAAAATCACCATTTGAACAAATTTCACCCAGAAATTTTAGTATGAATATGAAAAAGTTAAGAAATATTCTAATATATAGTACCTGAAAAGTTTACAGAATAAGAAAGACACAAATTAGTAGATTCTGGAGAATTATCTATATGAACCCTCACCTAGTCTCTTTATTTTGGATAGTCCATAGTTTCCTTGTAATTTGTTTATAACTATGGACTATCCAAAATAGAGTATGCAAGCTGATTAACAATCACCATTTTTACCAACAAAAGTACCAAAAGTCAGAAAATTGTGGAATATCTTTGAAGGGCTAAGAAATGATAATGGCAAATCTAGAATTTTGTGTCAATTAGATTTAGAATTCATGAACACTTCAAAATAGAAACATTTTCAGACAATCCCAAAACTGAAGGTTTACTAGCAAGAGTAGTAATTTTTAACGTATATACTATAGAATAAAAGATAATTAACTGGGTGTAAATTCCAAAATATTAGAAAATATGATGTGAAAAAAATATATAAGCAATCATGATTTTGTTTAAGAAACACACCAACAATATGTAATTTGTGAGAATAAGAAAAACAACATAAATATAAAACAATGAACAATGTAGTAGCAAATTTTGTTAAATGATTGCAATTAAAGAGCTCTAAGATTTTGTATTGTTGGGGCTGGATATTAGCAAACTTTGTATTTTATATTAATATGATTGTTACAATATCAAAATTGCATAGCAAAAGAAAACTGATAATGTGAATAATTTCCAAAATAAGAGACCAGTTAAACAAAAATGTTAAGGTAAACAAATGCAAAACAAGGCAAGAAGAAAACTAGAGTGAGAGAGAAAGGCCAGCAAAATGAATAAAAGGAAGAAAATATGACTGTAAATGTTAAAAAAAAATGAAAACCTAAAAAGTAACAGGCAAATTGCCAGAAGAAAACAATGTACTTTACTGAATAAAGGTCATTAAAGGATTTCTTCAGCTGATGAGCACCAGGTAAACCTGAAGATCAGGTGGTTCCAGACCAAAGTAGCATCAAGCTTCTTACAAAAGAAGAGGAAGTTGAGTACAAGTGGGTTTAGGCTGGGCAGAAATTTTCTGCTTTAACCGAAGCTGACTTTAGGTTTTTGGGTTTTTTTCTGTTTTTTTTGTTTTTTTTGTTTGTTTTTCTGTTTATGTTTCACTTTCAAAGAATCTCATTATCCATCAGAATAATATATGAGAACCATCTTTGCAGTTAGTGGGCTAACCTCAGTTCCTGAGGTGGGGAAGGGGAGGTACACAAGAATAAGAATGAAACGGAAATAAAGGAAGAAGGTAAGAGGCAGGGGATTATTAACCTCTAGCACGTTCGTTTTAATCAGTTTACACAGTTACTAAGTTTTCACATTTACTAAATATTTTACATGATTCAAATCATTAAGTGATATATTTATGTCAAATTTAGTGATTTTTTTTGAGTGTCAACTCTTTGCAAGGTATTGACTAGGTGTTGGAATCCAAAATTAAACTGTGAAAAAAGGTCCTTGTCCTAAGGAATTTATGTTCAGAAGAAATAGAAAAACAAAATTAAATAAATGGATAAGTGTTGTTTTACTAATACCTTATTTATTAAATTTTTTGCTAAGCCTATAATATTAAAGCAGATATTTGTGTATCTCCATGTAACACTGGGTCTAGAATCAAGAGGTTAACCTTGTGGATTCCTCAGTGACTTTGAGTAATCACCTGACAAAAATATATCTGTGTTCAAATACAAACGTATGTTCAAACAGGTTGTTACCCTATCCACTTCACAAAATATTTGAAAAATACACTGATAGACGATTTGATGATTCTATAAATCTGATAAATGAATTAAAGTTACAATAGAAGATTTTTCTGAAAGGATATCATCAAGCAAAAAGAAAATGACCAGTATTTGGTACCATGTAACTTTAATGTAATCTATATTTAAGGGACTTCTTTTATTTTGATAGAGGAATTGAATCAGCTATTCCTACTTAGCAGCATGAAAAGGAGTTGAATTTCCGGGTGATATCATTTGAAGGCATGTCTGAGAAAAGCAGATTCAAAACTTAATAACAGGTGATGTTTTCTGTGGCGAGCATTCCTCCCTCAATCCTGCTGCTGTGACCATCCCTAGATAGCTTTTGGGACAACAGCTCCTCCTTGGTACCTGCTGGGGATTGGTTCCAGGACCACCACCAATCCCACCACCACCATCCGTTCATACAAAAAGTCAGAGATGCTCAAGTTTCTTCCATAAAATGGCCTAGTATTTGCATATAACTTATACACACCATCCTGTATAATTTAAATAATGTTGAGATTACTTATATTAATAATACTGAATACAATGCAAATCCTATGCACATAATTGTTATACTGTATTTTTTTTATTTGCATTGTTTTATGGTTGTATTGCTTTTTTTTAATTGCATTTTAGGTTTTGGGGTACATGTGAACAACATGCAAGATTGTTGCATAGGTACACACATGGCAGTGTGATTTGCTGCCTTCCTCCTCATCACCTATATCTGGCATTTCTCCCCATGCTATCGCTCCCCAACTCCCCAATTATTTTGATACTTCTTTTAACAACTATATTTGATTCATGGTTGGTTAAATCCATCCATAGTGGATGTATGAAGGGTCAACTATATTCAGGAATTTGCATTCACAGACTTGAGAGCCAAGTAGATTCTTTGCTTAAGTGAACTCTGTGCAGACATAGCATTCAGCGTTTCTATCCTGGTATTTTAACGAGACTGCAGTGGTTGACTAGATATTTAGGTAACATGCAACAATTATTTACAAAATAGACATAGATGTTCTGTGACCCCAAATTCTCTGAAACTTTGAACTCAGTTATTGGATCTATAGTGATGTTTTTGATCAGACTACAAGATGAAGGAAATAATAGAACTTGACCTAATGTAAAGAAAAGTATTGCTATCTCTCCACTGATTACTTTGGATGGTGGGAGAGCTGTGTGATCACTTAACTAAAGAGGACTCCCCACAGGAACAACTCTGAAGTACTTTAGAGATGGAGTTGCTGAAGAAAAAACATTGAAAACAATTGGTTTTGCTTTTCAGAGAGTAGCCGGAATGTAACAATAATCTATCATTGTGTGGGCAGACAAATTGCTTGAAAGCTGATAAATTGGAAATCACTGGAAGGCAGCTATTTTGTCTATGGGTGCTTTAGATATCTTGGAAAAATATTATTAAATGGTAAAAAATTGCTATCTAAAAGTTTCTATCTGTTTGGAATATAGAGCTACATAAAGTCGAGAGTCCATTATTATTCTAATAATAGATAAAATCCAAATCTAAAGAAAATGTTTCCTATGAAATATGTAATTTAATTCTTATCAGAGCAATACTTTAAACAATTATGGGATTTCCTGTGTTTGTGAATGTATATGAATTGAAGTGCACAATAACCTTATTTTCTCCTCTTCTTTATAAATTTAATTCATTAGAAATTGAGACTGTCAGACTCCTCCCAAGCCCTATTAAATTTGCATCAGCATAAGATTTCCAGATCACTAATATACTCTTTAACTTTGAAAACCACTGCTGTATATTGTCTTGAGAGTCCATGCTATGAAATAAATTGCCCCCTATTTACTCCTTAATTGGAATTCTTCAAAGATTTTCCTAAAGCTTCAAAATAAGCCCCAGTTTATGGAAATGAACTAAATTTATTTTATTTTATTTTATGCATTGCTGCCCAAAAGAAGAAAGCTGATTTTTGCTAACTTCATCTTATCCTCGACTTCCAACCAGTGTCACCCGTTTTCTTCCTTTTTAATATTTTCTGGTGAATTAGAGAGTTGTCAGCCATAAGAATGAAATATATGGTTTATGGCCTATATTTAGGTAATGGGTCAATCTGAGATCTGGAAACAATACCTGTGTTTATCTGCAACTAAAATCTGAACACCTGATCCTACACTGCATAGACAAACAGGTCACTAGAAAAAGGCAAGCAATTTAGAAAGGCTTTTAATATTGAAAAATTTCCGTTTTGTTTCCTGTCTATCACTTTCTCTTCTCTATTCTAAATTGCTTTATTAATAGTCTATATTTAATATTCTATCATTAATATGTCAATAATCGAGTACTCTAGTTTCATCAATATACTGATTTGTAATTAGTACAGTATATTATGAGATTGCTTTGCTCATTAATATTATTAGCTCTTCATTTTTTATTGTTCACAATATACCTTCAACCACCTTTTTATTTTTGACCAATGTGCATATTGCAGTTTAAGAATAACACCTTCCTTGTTAAATATTGATTTCCACTCCTTTTTGGAAAATTAGATGATTTGCACTTACGGTCAGAAATAATATAGAGCTTTTCTGGTTTTGTGATTCCAAATAATATTATTAATATACTCTTTTTAAATTACAGTATCTCCTTGTTTTTGTTTTGTAATTATTTTCTAAATAAAATAGAGCTGTGAATATTTTGTTCCTTTAAATAATTTTCATTTATAATAAAAATTACAAAATATGGCAATCAAAAAATTTATTATTTCAAAAACCATGTCATTCACCAATTTTCTTTCAAATTTGTGAATAGCCTTATTTTACTTTAATATTTTAATCATAATATTACTTTTTTATAATTAATATTAATTTGTATTTAATATGGTAATGATATTTTTACTAAATTTTACATTGTTGGGTTAGTAGTCACTGACAGTAAATATAACCATTTTACTTTTTCAACATATAATTTTGATTAATCTTAATCAGATAAAGTTCATTTTCACTTTTTATTATTCTTCAATTGAATATATTTTATATTTTAAAAACTTTCATTCCTAAAAATGTGTGGAATACAACATTCCGAATTCAAAATATTTTTCTAAATTAAACAGTTTTTCTAGTTTTCACATATAAAACTAAAGAAAAAAGTTCAAGTCCAACCAGACATTTTATACTTAAGAAATGAAAATATTAATCCTATGTGTTTATTGCAGATGTTTTTCTTATAATTTTAGTAACAGTGTTATAAAATATTTGTAGTAGGTTTTTGTGGTAATATAATTTGAAAGCTGGTCTGCATTTTCAGCTACGAATTAAGTGGCATTTTAAAGATTAGCCCAGTAAATTTTCTTTTATGTTGTATTTTAGTCTATATTTGAATGATATTTAAATTCTTAGATTTTCACTTTAGATGTGGGAAGTCAGGTGCTTAATTCCATCCTCTTAAATTTTATATCTGTGATTTCTTCTGCATTCTTTTCCATTATATGTATTTTTCTTCTATACTACAAGAGAGTTTCTTTAAGATTGAATTTAATATTTTAAGCTTCCTTTAGTGTAAATTCAGCCCTTACATTTTATATAGTTTTAAAATTATGTATATTTCTTTGTATTTATATATATATATATATATTACACAATTTTAAAAATCATACACCTATAGATTCATTGACCAGGTTTCATTTCAGAGATAACATTAACAGTAAAAAAAATCTTAAATGCAAAGATATTCATCATTTAAAAATTAATCAATGCCATTCGCTAAATTATCAAAAGGACAAAAATGTAAGATGGTCATCTGTAGAGATGCAGAAAAACAATTTGACAAAATTCAGCACTGATATATGAGAATTCTCAACAAAATAAGAATAGCAACGAAAATTGATCTACAACCAGAAATGACAGCAACAACAAAATACCTAATCAGAAATGATGGACAGGAATAGGGAAGCAGTGAAAGCAGGTTTCATTTCTCTTTTTTTAGTGGTGGAATAAAAAGTGTTCTTGTGCTTAAAGGTCACGTTCCTGCCATAAAATGCGCTACAGAGACAACATAGTTTTTAATTGGCTTAGGCAGGTGACTCCCCTTAAGCATCAAGATGGAACTGATTACACAACAAAATGTAATTTTAAAAACCACTCTCATTCAATTGTAATAACATCAAGACATCCTTACAATGAGTGTTATGGTCTGAATTGTATTTCCCTCCCTAAATCCATATATTCAAGCCCTAAACCCTAGTTATACACATAAGGTAAATGAGACCTTATTTGGACAGTTTTTGCAGATGTAATCAAGCTAAAATGATGTCTTTAGGAGGGACTTAAAATAACATGGGTTATCTTCATAAGAAGGGGGGAAGAGAAACAGATAAAAGGTGGAAAGGTCTATGTGAAGACAGAGCTGAGAAGGATTTATGTATTAATATTAATAGAAGCCAAGGAACACCATCTGAAGTTCTGATGGCAACATCAGAAGCTAAGAGAAAGGCATGGAAGTTTCTCATCTAGAGCATCCAGAGAGAGGTTGGTCCTGCAGACACCTTGATTTCAGACTTTTGACCTCTGCAACTGTGAGAGAAAAAATTTCTGTTGCTTAAAGGACACACAGCTTGTGGTGCTTTGTTAGAGCAGCCCAAGGTAACTGATACAGATGCCAAATTGTTTCCAAGGGTATTTAAGGAACTGGATCTTGATAGACATTATTTTCATAATCCTACATTATGCTATGATAAATGGATTCAATTCAAAATTGGATAATGCCCTAAAATGCACTAAAGCTATAATTTTGAGATTAAATTTTAATAGCTTTATGAGACATAGTAAACACCTGGTAAACTGCACATTTTTGTGGCATGAATTTTTTCAACATTAACATATGCACATACTTGTAAAACTATCACTCCATAAAAGATCTCATGCCTCTCTTTTTGACTTTCAACACATCATCCATACAACACTAATCTGGTTTTATCACTATATATTAGTTTTTATATTCCGTAATTATCTATCAGTGGAATTATAGTATATGAACTCTGTTTTGCTTTTTTCCTTCATCATATTTTTGAGATTCAAGAATTAATTGCATGTTTAAGTAGCACATTGTTTTTTATTGTTAATTATTATTTCATTTCATAGACATACCACAAAATGAGGGACATTTTACCTGTCAGGGGATATTTCCCGTGGTCTGGGGACACTTTTGGCTATCAGAAGTTTGTGGAGGAGGGGATAGAGTCTCCACAGGCCAGAGGGCCACAAAGAAGAGCTCACGAAACAAAGAATTAAATCACTTCAACTGATAATAGTGCCAAACTTGAGAATACGACTCTTGGTGGGCAGTTGTGTGATTCCTATTTTTTTACTATAATGAATAAAGGTACTTGTGCAAGTCTTTTTATATACTTTTCTCCCCACTAGGATAAATGCCTAGGGATAGAATTGGTAACGTATAAGGTAGATTTAATTTTCCAAAGTAGCTGTACTGTCTTACATTCCCACCATCAATATATACGGACTCTAGATTCTGGTTTCTTGACATTTATGCCAAATATTGGTAACATAATGTTTAAAATCATAGCTTTACTAGTAGATGTGTATAGTTATTTTATTTTTCATTAGTAAAGATATTGAGAAATTTTTCATTTGCTTATTTGCTGTTATATCATTTTTGTATAGCATCTGTTAGTTTTTCTTATTACCTCTTGTTTCTATGTTGTATATTTATATATTCTTGCTATTATTCATAATAAATCATATATATAATTATATAATTTAAAATAAACAATACATTTTTAATATATTTATACATTTCTATAGTTTGATATTATATAATTGTTGCTTTCTGAATAAAAAGAAATTTCTTCGCAAAGTGTGGATAAAAAAAGAAATGACTTCCTGGAGTTTACTAAGACATTATGTTTTATATTTGAAGCCTTATGCTTTCACTTTTACATATAGATCCATAATGTATTTTAGAATCATTTAATTATGGACTCATTCATGCTTACGGTGTGAGGAAGGACTTGAGGTTTGCTTTCTTCACATTTATCTCGTAGTTCTGCTTACTTTTTGAATAAAATTGTCTTTCCTCTTGGAATAACTGTGATATCTTTGTTTGATATTATATTATCCATATAATTATGGATCTATTTGTGAAATCTATATTGTTCCATTACTCTATTTGTTTATCCATATATTAATAAAAACACATTCTCTTGATGGCTATAGCTTCACATTACGCCATGGTGTTAGGGAGTGTGAGTATTCCAACTTTTTTTTCAGCCTTTTGGCATTTGTTTTTTGCTCTCTAGATTTAATGCACATTTTTAAATTATTATGTCAATTTAAACACAAATATCTTTTGTATTATGGTGAGGATTTCTAGAATTATTAATTTGAAAAAACTTAAGCCTTTTACATACACTAAAATTCACCAAAATTTCAAGCAATGATTATCGTATTAGCTTGTTCTGGCATTGCTAGAACAATATAGAGAAATACTAAAGACTCAATAATGTATAAAGAAAAGAGGTTTAATTGGTCCATGGCTCTGCAGGCTGCACAGGAAGGATGATGCTGGCATCTACTTAGGTTCTGGGAGGCCTCAGGAAACTTGCAATCATGGCAGAAAGCAAAGGGGGACAGACATGTCACATGGCCAGAACATGAGCAAGAGTGAAGAGGGAAGGTGCCACGCACTTTTAAATGACCAGATCTCATGAGAACTCACTCACTATTGTGAGAACAATACTGAGAGAGATGATGCTAAACCATTAATGAAGAATCCACCCCACAATCCGATCACCTCCCGCCAGACTTCACCTCTAATACTGGAGACTACATTATGATATCAGATTTGGACAGGGACACTCATCAAAACCATCAATTACGGCATGTGACTCCATTTATTTAAAACTTTCACACATCTTCCAACACTTTTGATTGTTTCTTCTTTCGATCTTGCATGTAATTTGTTAAAATCATATCTCACATATTTTATTTTTATTAATATTTTACATGGATTTCATTTTTATTATTAATTACTTTTTGGAAGTATATTGAAATAGATTAATGGGTTGACTTATTTTTTTCTATGATGTGACTAAAATTACTAGTTTATTCTAGCAGTTGATGTTTAGAGTCACTAGGATTTTATATATAGGTAATGGAGCTGTTTAAAAATTGAGATTTGCATTTTTCATTTCTTAACTGTATATGTTTTACTTATTTCCTTTGCTTTGTTTCGCTAATTAGTTCCTCCCTTACAGTAGAGAGAACAATAGTGAATGAGGACAGTTTGTCTGATTCTGGATCTTAAATGAATCATTTATTAGTTCAAACTTCAGTGTGGTATTGGCTGCAGGATTTCTGTAGAAGCCTTCCATTTGCTTGAGGATGCTTCTTTGTATTCTGTTGGGGTGAAATATTTTTATTACAACTCTATCTTGATATTTGCCAAATGTTTTTTCTGCCTCAGAAGAAGTTCTCATTTTACTCAGTTAATGTGGTGAGTTTGAAAATTCTAAACACTTGGAAAATCACATTCCTAGTCATATACTTCTTCTTACTATGCCTTTCTAAGAGAACTGCCTTCAAATTTTAGCACATAGTACTTCTCTACCTATAGCTCAGGGTTTTCTTGTTTTTTATGTTTACATTTTAGTGATATTTCTTTTTGTTTTTTCTAACATTTTATGAGATATTGCACTGACCCTTTAGTTTCAACTTTATAGCTCTAGTTAACTATAAAAATCAATAAAATTTCAACACTCAAGTATTACGTATATACCTTGATCTAATGATTTAGGATTATGAGAAAAATGCTCAATTTCCCTTAATAGACGGAAGTATCAACTTTATTTATTTATTTATTTATGTGGTCTCATGGCCTAAAAACCATTAGGTCCCCATTGATCAGCAAGCAAATGATCATGATTGTTTTTCTGAATTTTTGGCAATTTCAGAAGAGACAAGAAAGCTAACTTTTAATAAAATGCCAATGCCAAGAATTTAAAATCAAATTGCTTCTTCACAATGAATCCTAACAGCAAATAGCTCTTCATCTTACGAATACTCAGAGATTTTGCTTGTTGCAGTGATCTTTCTCCTGGCTTATAATTTTTTGCTACCCTGCAACAAAAATAATAAGAAATATTTTTCCAGTCCCCAGCTGTGAAGGAGAAAAAAACTATAAATCTAGAGTAGCACATTCTGTGGCTCATTTATTGAAATAAACATAGTGAGCACAAGATGGATAATCTATTTGCATAATCAAAGACACCCTTCATCTGCATCTGTTTTTTTGTTGTTGTTTGTTTGTTTGTTTTGTTCTTTTGTTTGTTTTTGAGACAGAGTCTCACTCTGTTACCCAGGTTTAGAGTGCAATGGTATGATCTTGTCTCATTGCAAACTCTGCCTCCTGGGTTCCAGCAATCTTCCTGCCACAGCTTTCCGAGTAGCTGGGATTAGAGGTATGTGCCACCTATGATGACTGGATAATTGTAATTTTAGTAGAGATGGGGTTTCTCCATGTTGGCCAGATTTGTCTTGAACTCCTGGCCTCAAGTGATCTGTCCACCTCAGCCTTCCAAAATGCTGGGATTACAGGCATGAGTGACCCACCTGGCTATGTCTATTTTTAACATAGTGAACTATAAATATTTCTACATAACAAACTATTATTACAAATGTTATATGTATTTTAAGAACATACAAACTTATGTTCTGTTTTTTCTTATTCAATACAAACCAGTGGAAGATTGATAATGCAGAATATGATATTATTTATAAAAAACCATTTGTTGTCATATAAAGTTACATTTTATTTTAAAATTATATTTTTGAATAGCTTTTGGAATATTAAAGTACTATAATTTATTGCATTTTTTGTCACCTAGATTATATGAGTGTTTGAATCAAAGCATGCAGACAGGCATGTGTGATTCTATATAGGACCAAATAACACATATTTATTAAATAAATACATGTATATGTTATACACACACATAAATATAATGTGTGTGTGTGTGTGTGTGTGTGTGTGTGTGTGTACATATGCCACCTCTGGAAAGAAAGAAATTTCAAAGAACCATTCCCTCTTTTGAGCACATAAAGAAGTTTGTTTTTGAAGGAATGGATAACAGAGGTTGGTACTTTGGCTGAATTCCTCTTCCATTCACTTTCGTTAGACTTGGCACTGCTGCATAGAGCACAACTTTCCCAAATGCGATGTCTGTGTTCGTGCCTCATTTCACAGTAAGAAATCAAAATTTCTGGTAGACAAGTGCATTCCAGCCTGAAAAAAATTATGCAATAGTGAATTTAACAGAAAGCAAATTGCTCACATATAGAATCAACATGGAGTTATATCAATATTTATTAAAAGTTTATATATCACATTTTGTCCCCTGGAGAGAAGTACAAAATTCAAATAATCTATTTTTATATCCCAATTTTTAACTATGAAACTGTGGTATTTTATTTTTATTCTTCTCTATCAGGTACTTGAAGCTTCACAAAATTCTGTGAATAATATATTATAACAGGCATTTTACTTATTTCCACACCAACAGAAGGAAATGTATACTTTCTATGCCCTGAAGAAATTTTTCCTTTTTGTAAATGACATATGGTAGTGAATTCTTTTTGATAATAAAATATTCCTGGTTTTGAACAGGCTTTTCATTTAAATTCACAACAACATATCAAAGCTTTACCATCATAATGCAGAGAAATAAACTATGGTAATATAGGATTTTACTAACAAAGAGTGTAAACAATTTATGTCTTCTATTAATTTTAAACAGAAATTTTACAGAAGTAATTGGAATATGCTGCCAGAGTATACACACACACACACACACACACACACACACACTCTCTCTCACACACACACACGCACACGCACACACACACACACTCAAACACACACTCACACTCACATCCAGCTACAGGAAATTACAGCAGCTATAATCATTTCATTAAAGATCTGAAATTAAAGTTTCTTTTAGACTTGCAGCTGAAGCACATAGTAAGTAAAAGTAATATGATCATTGTTGCATACTGTGAACCAACAGCACACAGAAAACTTAGACTTTCTATATTTACACAGCTTAATTATCCGAACTGAAACCTGGGGCCATCTGTGTCAACATGATTTCACAATTTATTCCAGAAAATTATTTTTCAGAAAAGGCTGCCAGCCAATAAATAACTTATTGTTTGCTTCAGGAAATTTCTGCAAATCAATTTGTGTCAGCAAACAGCTCTCCTCTGGGACAATAGATTGCTCGCCTGGGCAGGTAGCAGCTTATTTCAATAGCAGTTTGCTTATGAAGACTTCAGTCAAGGCCCTTAACTCACACTGTTCCCCAATCCTAAACTCTGTGTCCGGAACATTACCTGTTCTAAATCAGTCATTGGTTTTGAAAGGCCCCAAGTAACAATTTGAGTACAGACTTCAATACCCTATAAATATAACCTTATCATCTTCTCTTCTAAAATAACCCCCGTCACCGAGGTAATCCCCCTTGCAGTCGTATTTTATTGTACTTAGATTTCCCTAATCAGCAAGTTAGTCTATTGGATGGAGTGTCAGAGGCAACAATCATAGAGGTTTTGCAAGAATCTGCCAAGATTTTCTTCCCATTATGGTTCAGGAAGTTTCCACAAGATCCAGTAAACAACTCATTTGGGGATTTCCCTGATCATTATAGTGAAATACGTTTTGCATTGGACCTGGCATCTAATGTTTTTGGTGGACTCTTAAATTTTATATTTATGTTATTTTTTATTCCTAGAAATAAGGAATGTTTTTATAAGGAATTCTTTGATCATTTGTTTATGTTTAATCCTTGATAAAAACCTACTTTATTACTTCGAACATTATTGATTTTCTTCCTTTATTTCCTCATTGTATATTTTATAAGCCTATAAAAAGAAGTTCATAGGAAGATGAACAAGCTCAGGTTCAATAAATGCCAGTCTCTATTTGATCCTAAAAACTGACGAGTTCAGAAAATCTCATTAAAACCAGCATCCTTAAAAAACACATTTTGCTTTGAGCCACTCATGTGAATTTTGCGAGAATATTCCTTGGTCTTTTGATGTTTTCCCTGTAAGAGTCTGATCCTAGAAAATATGTCCATTCCAAATACTCTGCCTGCTTGGAATTGTAGATTTTGGGGGCTTCAATTAAAGATATCCAAATAATAGAGCAGGAGCCCAAGATAAATTTCAAAGGCAACTTCTTACCATCTTTTACCAGACCATTGTGGGTACATCTTAGTATAGATCCACAGCTCCTACAGGCAAGCTTCTGCTTCTTATATGTTCACACAATAGTCATGTTTTGTTTGCTTATATTTTCAAATTGCATAATTTCACCAAGCATAAAGTTACAGTATCCTCTTTAGAAACACTTTTATATGATTACAAAAATTGAGAAGTTTTTTAGAATGATAAAGAAGCAAAAAAGAAAAACAAGAAAGAACAAGCATTCACTACCCTGAACATTTTATTCTTATGTGAAATCTTGTAAAAACATCTCAGGGCCAGGCGCGGTGGCTCACGCCTGTAATCCCAGCACTTCTGGAGGTCGAGGTGGGCGGATTACGTGGTCAGACGTTCAGGACCAGCCTGACCAACATGGCGAAACCCTGAATCTACTAAAAATACAGAAATTAGCTGGGCATGGTTGCACGTGCCTGTAATCCCAGCTACTCAAGAAGCTGAGGCAGGAGAATTGCTTGAACCCGGGAGGCGGAGGTTGCAGTGAGTTGAGATCATACCATTGCACTCCAGCCTGGGTGACAGAGCGAGATTTCCTCTCAAAAAAAAAAAAAAAAGAAAGAGAAGAAAAAATCATCTGAAACTAGCTGACTTTTAAATACCCCCTTATTTCCAAATCTTGATTGAAATGAGTGGTTTTAATTCCACAATTCCTTGTCTCGTTTTGCAAGCACAGAGTACAAAACCCTGTCTGGTTTCCTTTCAATTCTAAAATATCCAAAATCTCAATTGTCCCTTAAAATCAAACTTTATTATAGAGAAAGCCCACTGTGTTTACATTTTAGCTCTGATATTGATCTGAGCTGAGATCCATTTTCAAAGCTACTCCACTAGGAAGGAAAGAGGGGGAGGATAAAGGTCAATTGGTTAATAGGTACAAAAACAGTTTTATAAAAGGAGCAAGTTTTAGTATTCAACAGCTCAGTAAGGAAATTATAGTTAACATTAATTTGTAGTATATTTCAAAACAGGAAAGAATTGTAGGTCAGGTGCAGTGGCTCATGTTTGCAATTCCAACACTTTGGGAAGCTGAGGCAGGAGGATCACTTGAACTCAGGAGTTCAAGATCAGCCTGGGCAACATGACAAAACCCAGTCCTATAAAAAAATACAAACACTACTGGGAGTGGTGGCATGTGTCTGTAGTCCCAGCTACTCCAGAGGCTGAGGTGGAAGAATCTCTTAAGCCCAAGACTTTGTACTGTTCCAACTCAAAGAAAATAAGATAAAAATATTTGAGTTAATAGTTGTCTCAATTACTTCAATTATTTTGATTTAATCATTACATATTGAATACTTGTATCAAAATATTACATGTACTCCAAAACTATGTACAATTATGACATCAATAAAAATCCAAAAAACCGCAAATATATTCCGAAGCCTAGATAAGATACACAAAACCATATAGAGGTATTTTGAATAGTTCTAATGTCATGTAATCCACAGGTCCCTGATCTATAATATATCGGGTTTTTACATGTTATGAGGAATTACTTGTAAAAAAAAAAAAAAAAAAGTGGGGCAGAATATGAAAACTATGAGAGTGACATAAGGAACTCTGAATTAGGTGAGAAACCAGGGAGATTTAGAACCCTGTAGACATTGTGCATCCCTCAATGCCTTTTCCCTTAAAAAATTTATTAGATTCTAATCCAGCCTATCAAAGTATACATTCATTAGAAGCATATTAATTTCAGTTTTTTTCAGACACAGATTTTGCATATGCAGATTTGTTACTTGTGTACAAATAGTGCACCCCGGTAATGAGCATAGTATCCTGTAGATAATTATTTAACCCATACTCTGCTCTCTCCCCCACTCTAATAGTCTGCAGTGTGTTCTGTTCTCATGATAATTTTCATGTGTGCTCAATGTTTATCTTCCATTTTCTAAGTGAGAACATGTAGTATCTGGTTTTCTGTTCCAGCATTAATTTGCTTGGGATTATGTCCCCTAGCTCCATCCACGTTGCTGCAAACGACATAATTTCAGTCTTTTTATGGAGGCACGGTATTCCATAGTATATATGTACCACATTTTCTTTATCTAATCCACTGTTTATGGCACCTAGGTTCATTGCATATATTTGCTATTGTGAATCAAATGCTGATGAACATACAAGTGCATACATCTTTTTGGTAGAATGATTTATTTTCACTTGAATGTATACCCAGTAATGGGAATGCTGGGTGGAATGATATGAAATCTCCAAAATGCTTTCCACAGTGCCTGAATCAGTTACACTCCCACCCACAGTAGTGTATAAGCATTCCTTTTACTCTGCAGCCTGGCCAGCATCTGTTGTTTTTTGACTTTTTAATTACAACCATTGTGACTGATGTGAGATGGTATCTTCATTGTGGGTTTTGCTTGCATTTATTTGATGATTAGTCAGGATGAGTTTTTTTTTTTTTTTTTTTTTTTTTTTTTTTGTTTGTTTGCATGTCTTCTTTTGAGTAAATATCTGTTTATGTCCTTGGTCTTTTTTAAATTTAAATTTAAATTTTAAGTTCTGGAGTACATGTGCAGGATGTGCAGATGTGTTACTTAGATAAACGTGTGCCATGGTGGTTTGCTGTACCTACCTACCCATCACCTAGGTAATAAGCCCAGCATGCATTAGCTATTTCTCCTAATTCTCTCCCTCCCCCAGAGCCCCTAAAGGCCCCACTGTGTGTTGTTCCTCTCCCTGTGTTCCCATCATTCAGCTTCCACTTAAAAATGAGAAGATGTGGCATTTGATTTTCTGTTCCTGTGTTAGCTTTGGCTTTTTTAAATGGAGTTATTTATTTCTTTGTAACTGGAAGTTTATATTAAATAGGGTTAACATCTCAGCTAACAAACCGTCCAGTGACGGGCTGTTCCAGTTCCATTTAGGGAACAGTAGCTCAAAATGGCTTCAAGGATTCAGGCTCTTGTCATTTTTTGTTCCTCATAGATTCTGTATATTAGACCTTTGTCAGACTCATAGTTTGCAAATACTTTCTTCCATCCTGTAAGTTGCCTCAGCAGGCAGACTGTCACCAGACTTCCTCCTTATTGGGCAAGGCCTCTGCAGGCAGACTGTGTCACTAGACTTCCTCCCTCATTGGGCAAGGCAACAGCCCATCAGGGACTTATAAATAAAGCTCCCACCTTCCTGGGACAGAGCACCTGGGAAAAGGGGCAGTTGTGGGTAAAGCTTCAGCAGACTTAAACGTCCCTGCCTGGTAGCTATAAAGAGAGCAGTGGATCACCCAGCACAGCATTCAAGTTCTGATAAGAAACACAGTGTCTCGTCAAGTGGCTCCCTGAGCCCTGTGTATCCTGACTCTGAGACATATTTCATCAGGGACTGGCAGACACCTCATACAAGAGAGCTTTGGCTGGCATCTAGCAGGTACCCTCATGGGATGAAGCTACCAGAGGAAGGAACAAGCATCAATCTTTGCTGTTCTGTAGCACCTGCTGGTGATTCTCAGGCAAGATGGGCTTGGAGTGGATCTCCAGCAAACTCCGGCAGACCTGCAGCAGAGGGACCTGACAGAAGGAAAACCAACAAACAGAAAGAAATAATTTCAACGTCAACAAAAAGTATCTCCACTCAGAGATCCCATGCAAAGGTCACCAACTTCAAAGACCAAGGTAGATAAATTTATGAAGATGGGAAGAAGCCAGTGCAAAAACGCTGAAAATTCCAAAAACCAGAATGCCTCTTCTCCTCCAAGGGATGACAACTCCTCACAAGCAAGGGAACAAAATTGGACAGAGAATGAGTTTGATGAATTGACAGAAGCAGGCGTCAGAACGTGGGTAATAACAAACTTCTCTAAGCTAAAGGAGCATGTTCTAATTCAATGCAAGGAAGCTAGGAACCTTGAAAACAAGGTTAGATGAAATGCTAACTTGAATAACCAGTGCAGAGAGGAACATAAATAACCTGACGGAACTGAAAAACACAGCACAAGAACTACATGAATCATACACAAGTTTCAATAGCCAAATTGATCAAGAAGAAGAAAGAATATCAGAGATCTAAGATCAACTGAGTGAAATAAAGCAAGAAGACAAGATTAAAGTGTGAAAAGAAATGAACAAATCCTCTACAGTTGATCGGTATATCTGAAAGTGATGGGGAATATGAAATCAAGTTGGAAAACACCCTTCAGGATATTATCCAGGAGAACTTCCCCAACCTAGCAAGGCAGACCAACATTCAAATTCAGGAAATACAGAAAATGCCACAAAGATACTCCTCAAGAAAGGCAACACCAAGACACATAATTGTCAGTTTGACCAGGGTTGAAATGAAGGAAAAAATGCTAAGGGCAGCCAGAGAGAAAGGTCGGGTTACCCACAAAGGGAAGCCCATCAGACTTACAGAGGATCTCTTGGCAGAAACCCTAGACAGCAGAAAAGATTAGGGGCCAACATTCACCATCCTTGAAGAAAAGAATTTTCAACCCAGAATTTCATATCCTGCCAAACTAAGTTTCATAAGTGAAGGAGAAATAAAATCCTTCATGAACAAGCAAGTGCTGAGAGATTTTGTCACCACGAGGGCTGCCTCACAAGAGCTCCTGAAGGAAGCACTAAACATGGAAAGAAACGACCAGTACCAGCTACCACAAAAACATACCAAATTGGAAAGATCGTCAACTAATGAAGAAACTGCATCAACTAATGGGCAAAACAGCCAACTAGCATTATAATGGCAGGATCAAATTTACACACAATGATTTTAACCTTAAAAGTAAATGGGCTAAATGCCCCAATTAAAAGACACAGAATGGCAAATTGGAAAAAGAGTCAGGACCCATTGGTGTGCTGTATTCAGAATAACCATATCACGTGCAAAGACAAACGTAGATTCAAAATAAAGGTATGGAGGAAGACTTGTCAAACAAATTGAAAGAAAAAAAAAAGGATTTGCAATCCTAGTCTGTGACAAAACAAACCTTAAACCAACAAAGATCAAAAGAGACAAAGAAGGGCATTACATAATGGTAAAGGTATCAATGCAACAAGAAGAGCTAACTATCCTAAATATATATGCACCCAATAGAGGACCCAGATACATAAAGCAAGTTCTTAAAGATCTACAAAGAGACTTAGATTCCCACACAATAATAGTGGGACACTTCAACACCCCACTGTCAATATTGGACAGATCAATGAGGCAGAAAACTACAGAATTCTCCACCCAAAATCCATAGAATATACATTCTTTTCAGCACCACATGACACTTATTCAAAAATTGACCGCATAATTGGAAGTAAAACACTCCTCAGCAAATGGAAAAAAACGGAAATCATAACAAAAATTCTCTCAGACCTCAGTGCAATCAAATTAGAACTCAGGATTAAGAAACTCACTTAAAACCACACAACTACATAGCAACTGAACAACCTGCTCCTTAATGACTGCTAGATAAATAATGAAATGAAGGCAGAAATAAAGATGTTCTTTGAAACCAGTGAGAATGAAGACACAACGTACCGGAATCACATTTAAAGCAGTGTTTACAGGGAAATTTATAGCACTAAATGCCCACCAAAGAAAGAAGATAATATATAAAATCAACAACCTAACGTCACAATTAAAAGAACTACAGGTGCAAGAACAAAGTGAAAAGCTAGCAGAAGACAAGAAATAACTAAGATCAGAGCAGAACTGAAGGTGATAGAGACACAAAAAGCCCTTCAAAAAAATCGATGAATCCAGGAGCTGGCTTTTTGAAAAGATCAACAAAATAAGTAGACCTCTAGCCAGACTAATAAAGAAGAAAAGAGAGAAGAATCAAATAGATGCAATAAAAAATGATAAAGGGGATGTCACCACCGATCCCACAGAAATACAGACTACCATCAGGAATACTATAAACACCTCTATGCACATAAACCAGTAAATACAGAAAAAAAGGATAAATTCCTGGACACTTATACTTTCCCAAGGCTAAACCAGCAAGAAGTTGAATCACTGAATAGACCAATAACAAGATCTGAGTTGAGGCAGAAATTAATACCCTACCAACAAGAAAAATACGAGGACAAGATGGGTTCACAGTGGAATACTACTAGAGGTAGAAAGAGAAGCTGGTATCATTAGTTCTGAAGCCATATCAAACAATGCAAAAAGAAGGAATGCCTCCTAAATTATTTTCTGAGACCAATATCATCTTGAAACCAAAACCTGGTAGAGATACAACTGAAAAAAATTTTTAGGCCAATATTCCTGATGAATATTGATGCAAAAATCCTCAACAAAATACTGGCAAACCGAATCCAACAGCACATCAAAAAGCTTATCCATTGTGCTCAAGTTGGCTTCATCCCTGGGGTGCAAGTCTGGTTCAACATATGCAAATCAATAAAAGTAATCCATCACATAAACAAAACCAAAGAAAAAAACCACATGATTATCTCAATAGATGCAGAGAAGGCCTTTGACAAAATTCAACAGCCCTTTATGCTAAAGACTTAATGCTAAAATCATGTTGTCTGCTAATAAAGATAATTTGACTTCTTCAATTAGGAAAAAATGGAAATAAAATTGTCTCTATTTGCAGACTACATGATTGTATATACAGGAGACCCTATCAACTCAGACACAAATCTCCCTAAGCTGATGAACAACTTCAGCAAAGGATACAAAATCAATTTGTGAAAATTACAAGCATTCCTATACACCAATAACAGACAAACAGAAAGCCAAATCTTTAGTGGACTCCCATTAACAGTTGCTAGAAACAGAATAAAATACGTAGGAATACAACTAACAAGGGATGTGAAGGACCTCTTCAAGGAGAGCTACAAACCACTACTCAAGGAAATAACAGAATACATGAACGGGTGGAAAAACACTCCATGCTTATGGTTAGGAAGAATCAGTATTGTGAAAATGGCCATACTGCCCAAAGTAATTTATAGATTCAGTGCTATCCCCATCAAGCTACCATTGACTTTCTTCACAGAATTTGAAAAAAACCACCTTAAACTTCATATGAAACCATAAAACAACCTTCATAGCCAAGACAATTCTAAGCAAAAAGAACAAAGCTGGAGGCATCACACTACCTGACTTCAAACTATACTACAAGGCTACAATAATCAAAACAGCATGGTACTGGTACCAAAACAGAGATATAGACCAATGTAACAGAACAGAGGCCTCAGGAATAACACCATAA